ACACACACTGCTCCTGTGATGTATTACATTAAAAGACACTCACTGTTACTGACACACACACGTTGCTACTGTGATGTATTACACCATAATACACACTGTTAATGTAATATAAACACAACAATGATGTACTACACTATAATAGTGTAGTATAATTCAGTTACTGTATTTTATGACACTATAACACAGTGTTTCTGTAATACACACACTGCTACTACTGTGCTGTATTACACTACAGTACCAGTACACTCACACTGTTACCACAATACACAAACTGCTACTGTGAAGTACTGTATTACTTTTACTGTAATACACACATTGCTGCTGTGATGTACTAAAATGCTGCATATACAGTATACGCACAATATTAATGTTAATTTGATACACATAGTGCTACTGCAACACGCTGTGCTGTACTTTGCAATTTTCTGCCCAGTTTATGTCCCAGCTTTGGGATTATTGTAATCTGCCTACTGTATATTTGGGGATTTCTCGGTGTGCCATACCTGTCTTGAGGCTGCGAATGGGGAAGGTGGCCTGGGCCAGAAAGTTGGGGTCACTGAACATGTCCTCCTCGTACACCACAAAGCGCAGGAAGGAGAAGGAAGGGTTGTGCACATCGAAAACAAACTGCTTCTGTAGCCACACAGGGTTCAGCCCATTGTCCGCTGTGAGGGGGAGAGCGGGGTTCATTAACACCTGGAGCAGCACAGCCACATACAACCAGCCTGTCACACTGTGAGGGCTTTCAAACTGAATGGAATGGCTACAGGCGGAATAGAGCAGATTAATATTGGAGAGTTAGTGCACGAGCAGAGAAAATACTACTACTACTGCTGTAGGAGCCATGTAATGTTTTAATTTGGTTATATACATTTAAAAACAATCCTGTAAATATGTTGATGTTCTACTATTTGAAAACCACATTGTTTTGTTTACAGAAATTGTGCGTATGCCTTTAAGACTGCCAATCGCCGATGTTCATTAATGTAAATTCTAGAAGTTTTAGTTTTCAAAAAACAGAGGAAATTAGAGCATCACGGTTCTGATGTGCTTGCGTGGGTGCGGGTTTAGTTTACTTGAGCTTTGAGGAATAGCTTTTGGTATTGTGGAAAACGTTTTTTTGTTTGTTGACTAAACCAAAGTCAATGTGAATAAAACATGTTTAATTGTTAAACCTGGCGAAGTTTATCCTGGAGACTCCACGGGCATAGTCAGGTCGGCCATAAGCTCGCCTTTCTTACGGCGGTGGAATTCAGATACTTCAACTACTAATGATGAATAATTCCTTACACTTCTATAGCACTTTTCTGGACGCTCCACTCAAAGAGCTATACAAGTAATGGGGACTCCTCTCCACCACCAGCAATGTGCAACCCCACCTGAATGATGCAATGGCAGCTATAGTACACCAGTATGCTCACCACACACCAACTTTCAGTGGGGAGTAGAGCAGAGTGATGAAGCCAGTTCATAGATGGGGATTATTAGGAGGCTATGATTAGTAAAGGCCAGGGGGAAATTTGGCTAGGATGCTGGGGTTACACCTCTACTCTTTTCGAGAAACACCCTGGATTGCTCAATGACCCCAGAGAGTCAGGTTTTATGTCTCAGCTGAAGGACGGTGCCTTTTTACAGTATAGTGTCCCTGTCACTATACTGGGGCATTAGGACTCACACACACAGCAGGATAAGTGCCCCCCACTGGCTTCTCTAATACCTTTCCAGCAAAAACCTCAAATTTTTCCAGGAGGTCTCCCATCAATACAGTGAGCACTAATACTTTAGTGGACACAAGAGCTACTATGTAATTCTATACCACTGTATAAGAATGCTTGCTACTTTGCCAATTGCATTTTAAAAAAAAAGTTCTCTCCAGAAAATAGGGAGGTAGGAGAATGTGCATGGTTTTGGAACACTTGAAATCTTGTGAGCACAGGAAAGTGTAATAGGTAACAGACAAATATTTAAGGACTGTTCTAGGTTAATTTGAGAAAAATACACCAAGTGTCTCCGTGTTTCACTTCCATGCGCATTAAATAAAAACGTATTTTAACTTCTGAGACAGACTCCTGAAACGGAAACGGGGAAAAACGCAAGCTTGCGGATTGCTAAAGCAGGTAAGCAGGTAAACCGTTGGCAAAAGAGCTGACGCGTATTATGTGTGGAGAAACAGCTGCTAAACAGCTTTACCTGCTGCCCCCTTCGCTTCAAAAGACACATTAATTCATAGAATTATTAATATGGCAGATGATGTCAAAAGTACACTGAAAAGCGCATTAAGATGAGCAGATGCTTTTCACTGCAATTAGATGCCTTTGATTTTGCCAATTTGCTCGTTTGAGTTTGAGGGTATGTCCCATGAGGACTTTCTGTTCTGTAAGCTGCTACGGTCAAGAACTACAGGAGTATACATATTTCAGAATGAATTTATTGAAGAGAATGGCATCGACTGGATAAAATGCGTTGAAGTTTGTACAGACGGTGCTAGAGCGATGACAAGCTGCCCCAGCGGTGTAGTTGCATGAATTAAAGAGGCTGCTCCAGATATAAAGTGGACGCACTGCAGCATCCACGAGGTCTTTGCCATCAATAAAATGCCTGACGATTTAAAATCTGTTAGACTCTGTTGTGAATTGTATAAAGGCTCGAACAATTAATTCACATCAGCTTTGCTCGACTAAACAGACTCTCTCACTGAAATGGTGCTTTTCTTGTTTATTTTTAATTGTTGTTATTCCTGTTGTCATTCTGTAAAGCGCATCGAGAAGCCACCTTTTAAGGGCTATATCAAATGAAGTTTATTATTATTATTATTATTATTATTATATGTATATGTGAGTGTGTCCACGCACGCATGCTCATGTTGGTCATTGAGATTTTCTGGGGTTCCTACGAGAAGATGACTTGTAGGTGGTAGTTGGATGCTTTGGTTTGATTAGGGGTGGTACTTGGTCCAAATATTTTGAGAACCCCTCCTGTAACCAAATACTGTAAAGTCAATGACAGAGACATGAACAGTGTGTCGTACCCACGACATCAGTCTTGTTTTTGCTGCAGTCGAAGTCTGCGCCGCATACCTCCACCTCCACAAAGGGACACACAATACTGCGGCCATTCTTGGGCAAGTGACGGGCGCCCAGCACCTGCCAATGTAAAGTACCACATGTTTAACGGCAGCTATCCAACGTCTCAGGTCAATGAGTAGTTTGAGTTGCAGACACCCAGACAGCTAGAATAGAAAATTAAAAATTGAGAACGAAGCACATAATGCATGCGGAGAGAGGTGGAAGCCCATCTTCCCAGACAGAGACTTTCACATCTCCAACATACAAGACGTGCAGAAGGAGAGAGATGTAGTGAAATATGGCTGAACAAGGAAGTCACCATTCTGGCTCAGAACCCAACCCCAGTGGTGGGGCCTTGAGCCACCATGGCCTCCTCTAGAGTAAAACAAAAAGTGCTGAATGTACAGCTGATTTCAGTGAGTGCTGAGCCCTCGGATTGATACAGCTGACGTGAGTGAGTGCTGAGCCCTCGGATTGAGCAGAATTCTTATAGGAGGGAAAGGAAGTCACAACAGACTTCCTATGGAATTAGCCTCTCCACTGAGGATCATTAAGAGCCTTACCAAAGAACCTGGGAAGAAATGTGGGGCTCACTGAGCAGGAATGGCTTATGATGCAACAAATGCCATGTTCTAAGGTGTATCACAAGCACTAGACAGATGGTTTGCTATTTCTTCCATTTTCTTCTCACCACATACTGTATCTGACATCCTGCTGCTAATTTCAGGTGAAGCCCCACTCCAGGTGAGAACACCTCTTCTCAGCTGTACTTGAGCAACCAATTAATATACCTACAGTAGGTAGTGCACTTTTACAGTACACTTTTATCATTGGAGCTGACAAAACTGGATGCCTATGCAAACTGTCTGTCCTAACCACTCTGTGGCCCCCCTTTTCCCTTTCCACCAGGTTCTCTAGACTATGTTGCTGTGTCTTGTTCTGCAGCAATTTTAAACTACCTGGTAGATGTCATGGCTGAAGGGCCTACCATTGGTCATTGTAATAAGTTTATTCCATGCTGAAAAAAAGAAGAGAGAAAACACAACGTTTCGGCCGTGGAGCCTTCTTCAGGTGTGACCAATGACCATTGGACCAATGACCATTGGTCATTGACAGGTTAACAGATAGCAGGACACAGAAACTGAAGAGACAGACACCAAAAGACACAAATACAGTAGGTAGAATTTATAGAGAGGCAGACAAAGAGACACTCAAGGACATCTGTTACCCTGACCTGCAGCTGTATGGTGATGGGCTCAATATTAAGGGTGCTCTTGTCGAAGGGGTCGAAAGACTCCTCTCTCATGATGTCGGGCTGGAGCACATAACCGCTGCCTGCCCCCAGCGTGAACAGAGACTGGTTCAGCTGCATGGGCTTATCTGGATAGAGAAACGCCCCAGTCAGTATCATACTGTCACACAGTGTTCCAGCCACACAAGAGAACCACTCCAATAACACAGATAGACAGTGATCACACCACACAGACAACCAATCCATATCACACTGTCTCATAGTGATCACACCTGAGAACCACCCCAATATCGCACTGTCATAGAGTGATCACACCACACAGACAACCACCCCAATATCTATGGAGTTTATTTAATGAAAGTTCGGGAGGGATGACAACAACCATGCTCAATCATTCCCAGCCGTCAGTGATTAGCAATCACTCCCTTTGGCCATCCTCCACCGAACACTATAAATACCAAATGCAATATCTCCCTCCTTTGCCCCGGCGCCTCCATCTCCTGCCTTCCTACCAGCAGCGCTCATCTCCGGCCAGCTCTCTCAAGATTCAACACCTCACTGAACTCCACATTCTGCAATTATCACCTGCCTCACCACGAATCCAGCTCTCCTTCCTCCGCAGCGAATTCTCCAAGCAGCCCCTGCCTCAAACGTAAACGTTACCACTGCAGTCGCGGATATCCACTCCTCCTCTTCTCCAGTTTCTCCCGCAATTACAGACCTGACACTGCGATCTGAAGGCTTGAGAGTCCAGTTAAAAGAAACGCTTCCAAATTTTCCGGCGCCCTCGGCTGACGCCACCCGCACAGCCATTCTCCAGCCCACGCTAGAAATTGCGCTGCAGTAGCTACAGACTGGATACAGCCAGTCGGTTTTTCATCATTTCCAGGACACTAAACAGCCTAATTAACCCAGTCTTACACGGGTTCCTCAATGAAAGGGTTTGCAGCCTTTTAAAAATGACCGCTTTCGCAAAAAAAAAAAGGGAGGAAAGAGAAGAAAGAGCCCCAGGCTCATTCCTCCTGTCTCAGCTGCTGCTGTGGCCATCTCCTTGTCCCCGGGTCTATCCAGAGTCCTACCTGTGGTCCAGTCAACAGTTGTCTCATGTCCACCTGGCGTTCAATTTAGTCCCGGGCCCATTCCTCCCATCTCCACTGCTGCTGCAGGCATCTCCCCAGCCCCGGGTCTGTCCGGCATCCTACCTCCGGCCCAGCCACCAGTTGTCCTGTCTCATGTCCCCGTACCCAGCATTCAATTTAGCCCCGGGTTCCCCCTTCCACTGCTACTGCGGCCACCTCCTCGGCCGTGTCTGCCCGCTGTCCTATCTCTGGCCCAGTCAACAGTTGTCCCACATGAACCGGCAAGGTTGCCGGTTCATATCCCCCGGCTAGCAGAGGAATCCTACTCTGTTGGGCCCCTGAGCAAGGCCCTTAACCCCAACTGCTCCAGGGGTGCTGTACAATGGCTGACCCTGTGCAAGCTGGGGTATGCGAAAAGATGAATTCCTAATGCAAGAAATTGTATGTGGCTAATAAAGCGATCTTCTTCATTTGACTGTCTTACTGCTGCAACAACCCATGCGTCACAGATCACACCTTCTAACCTTCTCCAGGCTCTTCCAAATTCTGCATTGGTGGTTTGAGGTCCTGCTTGGTTCTTTGTGGGGGTCCTGGCCTCCTCGTCCTACGGCCAGGAGGTCGGCCCTCAGCCAAGCGGGTTAAGCCAAACATTCGCTCCACAATAGTTCGTTATGCTTTGATCTTGGGCGTTGTCATTCCTCGTGAAATGGAGTTTATTTAATGAAAGTTCCGGAGGGATGACAACAACCACGCTCAATCATTCCCAGCCGTCAGTGATTAGCAATCACTCCCTTTGTCCTTCCTCCACCTAACGCTATAAATACCGAATGCGATATCTCCCTCCGTCACGTGCAACTTTTGCATCCCACCTCCACCCCAACTCCACCTCTTCAGCTACCCCTTGGTTACCTTGCGTGGGGGTCCTGGGCTCCTCATCCTATGGCCAGGAGGTCGTCCCTCAGCCAAGCGGGTTAAGCCAAACATTTTCTCCACAATAGTTCATTACACTTTGATTTTGGGAGTTGTCATTCCTCGTGAACACAGCTTTATAGTGATCACACCACAAAATGAACACCCCTAATATCAGATTCTCACACCGTGACCACACCATACAGAGGACCACCCCAATATAACACTGTAACACTGCGATCACGCCACATAGAGAACAGCATCAAAGACAATAGCACCCAGTGATCACATTGCACGGAAAACACCCCCAAAATGCAATTTTTACTCAGTCTTGCTAATAGAATAAACCCCATGATACAGATATACCTGCTATCAGCACTCAGTATCAGGATCATCTTTCTTACTAATATAGTTGCGGGGTTAGCAAAACACTTGAAATGTCCAAGAAAAGCACCCCATTTTAAAAAAAGATGATACAATGGGCATTTTTAAAGTATTTGTGTACATTGTCTTTATCTGAAGCAGCCACAGTGGGATAATTTGGGCTAAACTAAACCTCTATGAAATCAGCCATCTTAGATCAGCAATATTTAAGAGTTACCAGATAATTCTGAGTGAGGTCACTAAGTAAGCCTTCACAGGGATACGTCATATATACTGTAGGCCTCAAGTCATGATAAATACGATGCAAAATACAGGAAAGAATTAAAACAAGAGAGAAGGGAGAGATAATTTCAGAAGAGATATCATTGGACCATGGGAGGGATATCTCCTTCATACAGACCAAGATGCCAGAAGTTGTCCAGGTAAACTGAGCACTGGAAGAGTACCCCACACTTAAGAAAATATTTATATTGTTAAAAAAATAGTGATTTCATAATTGAGGAATCCCCAGGCTAAAAGACGTCTATCGTTATTTAGTGATGGACTATTTTGCAGTAGGGAAACAGGTTCTCAGTTTAATTTGTAATAAATAATCTGTTTTATTATGCTTGCCGCCTAATTACTATTGTATTACCAGCTGTTCCAAGAATCTAAGAAAACACATACAGTTATAAGCTTTTTTATTACTTGAATTAACACATTGCAATATAGAATCATGACAATTTTTCAGTATCAAGTGCTTTGGGCAGTGAGCTATCCAAATATTCCAGAGCTCATTCCAAGTATCCAAGAGCAAGATCCCTGGATCCCAGAGAATTATCACTGTATCCCCATATTCTACCTGGAGTCTGGAAGTTGAGTGCGACAAGTTGTGAGCCACACAGCCACATGGGTAGAGGGTCGTAGTTGGAGGAGTCGAGCCGCTGGCCCTTGGGGTAGACACGGGACAGCTGGCGCCGGTTGTACTGCAGGAACTTCCTGCCTTTGGCGCGGTTAGCGTATTTCTCCGCCTTCGTCTCGGGGAATGACGACATGTCTCTGTAACATGCTCGGTCCGTACCAATCTCTGAGGGAAACGGAGGCAGGGGGACACGCGTTTACTGGCGTGACAAAACAGAAAGAGACCTCTCCCAACACTCGCTTAGACTCCCTCGTTCACAATGAACTTCAATAATCATAGCTCCCCTGCCACCCCTGACAGGACTACACTCTAGACAGCTTGGGGAAGAGGTATAAGCAGCACTGTGCACCTGTTAATTGTTAGTGCACTTACAGCTGTCACGATCGTTACTCCTCCTCTTAAGGGCGCCCCAGCCCTTCCTCGTTCTGTCCCATTCCCCACACCTGTTCCTTATTCCAGCCCCTCTTTAGTTCCACCTTTAAAGCCAGATGCAGGCGTTTGCCCAGCGCTTCTCATTGAATCTCGTTTCGTGAGAGCCCGAGGTCCTGCTGCAGTATGGTTTTAGTTTCCTGTTCCTGATTCCCTGTCCCGCCGGTCCCGACCCGGTTCTGGTTTTAATTACTTTGGATGGATCCCCTGGTCTTGGACTCTGCCTCCCATTTTGGATTTATGCTTGGATTGTTTGCCCCGGACTCACTTCCCCTGGACACCTGCTCACCTCGAACACGCCCCCCCGTCTCCTGACCCACTCCTGCATGATATTTTTCCCTACTGTTTCTTCACTTTCCGGATCGTGTCGTTCGCATAGGGCCCAGAAAGAACTGTTCCTGACAATAGCCAGGTTAAAACCGATAACACTGATTCTTAGACACAGGTGATAGTAACATTCATATGAATAAAAGAATGGTTACAAACGATGGTTACATTCAGCCCACTTAGTCTGTTTGATGGCCCGTTTGATAGCTACATGATCTGGGCATCTAGCTGTTTCTTAAAAGAAGCCACGGTATCAACTTTATCAGCTTGGCTTGGTAGCTTGTTCATACTTCTCCTTTGTCTGACACAGTTTATACATCATTTGAGAAACAGACGTGAGAACAAGAGAAGCAATATGAATTTGCCCTTATTGAAGGGTGTGGTCAGGTAGACAGAGGGAGGAGTGAAGAGTGTGACCAGAGAGGGGGAGTGTATACAGTATTTTGAATGTATAACAGTCCTTACTCTCCTCATCAAAAGGCACAGGTCTACAGTACACCACCAGCTCTGACAGCTCCAGCGCAATCTTCTTCCTCCTTTCCATCTGCTTCTCTTCCTGCATCTGTCACCAAAGAAACAGCACAACATCAGGCCCAGACCATCAGCACCTTCTGCCTTCCCTTCCACCACATCTACTGCTCCCTCCACCACACTAAACATTCAGTCTGTTCACTCTCCATATTTATCACTGATGTCTGTTTCTTGCCACTCTTGATATTGTAGACCGTTTCACTGTCCTTACCGACCCTTTCGTCCACCTGCCTGATTGTCTGCTCACACTGACCCATGTGCCTATTGATCTGTCCATTGGTACTGACCCGTGCATCTGCATTCTGTGCAGCCTCACGGATTTTGGACACCCAGCCGTTGAGGTCCTCCAGGGTGTCGGCCGCCACGTCCAGCATCTGGACAGGGGGAGACATCTGCTGGGAGTGTAATGTGAACACAAAGGGCCTGGAGTTCTTCCCATCCTTTTGTATCACTGCGGACAACAAGCACATAGGTACAGTTCATGAACTCACTGGGAGGAAGACAAACCCACACTGACAGACACTGCCACAAGACACTGACACACACTGACACAGGACACTTGCCACAGGACACTGTCATATAATGACACACACTGTCAAAGATCACTGATACCAACTGCCAAAAAACACTGACACACACTGCCACCTGACATTGACACACACTGACACAGGACACTGACATACAATGACACACACTAACACAAGACAGTAACACACAATGACAGACTCTGACACACTGCCACAGGACACTGCCATATAATGACACACACTGTCAAAGATCACCGATTCCAACTGCCAAAGAACACTGACACACACTGCCACATGACATTGACACACACTGACACAGGACACTGACATACAATGACACACACTAACACAAGACAGTAACACACAATGACAGAATCTGACACAGGACACCGACACACAATGACAGACACTGCCACAAGACACTGCCACACACTGAGTAACACTGCCACAGGACACTGATACAGAACACTCACATACAATGACACACACTGTCAAAGAACACTGACACACACTGCCACAGGACACTGACATACAATGACACACACTAACACAGGACAGTAACATACAATGACACACACTAACACAGGACACTGACATACAATGACACATACTAACACAGGACAGTGACACACACTGCCACAAGACAGTGACACAGAACACTGACACACACTGCCACAAGACAGTGACACAGAACACTGACACACAATGACAGATACTGCCACAGGACACTGCCACACGTTGAAACACACTGCCACAGGACACTCACACACAGACACAGGACACTGATACACACTGCCACAAGACACTGCCACAGGACACTGACATGCTGACACATACTGCCACAGGACACTGCCACACGTTGAAACACACTGCTACAGGACAATGACACACACTGACACACACTGACACAGGACACTAATACACACTGCCACAAGACACTGACACATGCTGACACTGCCACAGGACACTGCCACAAGACACTGAAACACGCTGACACATACTGCCACCTGACACTGCCACACGTTGACATACACTGCCACGGGACAATGACACACACTGCCACGGGACAATGACACAGGACACTGACATACAATGGCAGACACTGCCACAAGACTGACACACACTTAGTTCACTTAGTAAACACAGTGAACAGAATCGTACACAATATTCTGTAAGAGGTCTTATTTGTACATTTTTATCATGACAGCCTTTGATTTGACACTTGGTTTTATACTTTTAACTATATATCCTAATATTTTGTTTGTCTTCTTGTTGTTCCCCTATACTTTCCAGAATATGTAAATGATGGGTCAACATAAGCACCTACGTTTTTTTTTTGGCAAGTGCCCAGGCTGTGCCAGTGAGCAGGATGGGTGGAAACAGAAACACGCACAGATGCAGACAGTAGGACAAATAAATTCACAGACAGCTGGAACACAGACTAAAGACAGCAGGATGAGAGACTCACCCACATGGCAGGTTGGCACATCAATGAAACCCTTGAGGAAGGTACCCAGAGGACTGTTCTCTGCTGACTGAGAGGGGGAGGGAAAAAGGAAGTGGAGAGACGTAGAGAGCGAAATCAGGAGACATCAGGAGTTTAAGACACAACACGGCAGTGATACCACCCCTGTCTCTTGGCCAGTCTGTACTGGGAAATGTAGACTGCTGAAGATGCCAGTGATAATTTGGTGGTTTAATGATAAAGGCAAGGGCATCTAATTATGAGGGGCTTATATTTAGAGCAATGTAATTAATGCCCCCCTGCTTTGTCCTTCACTTGAGTTATAAAGCACTGGTGTGTCTCTGCAGCAGCTATCGCATTTGTTGACATGTACCATGGTCATGCCCAAGCTGCTATAAGACACAACGTACTATGTTATCCTTTCTGTCTTTGTTTTGACGTAAATAGTGTCTGTCAATGTTAATAAATGTTGAACTGTTCAGGCCGTGATTGTGACTCAGTCATGTGTTTGTCTGTCAACATGTCTGCCTGTGAGGATAGCCATGTCTCTTTGCATGTCTGCTTGTCCGTCCGACTCACAGCCTCATCCTGCTCACGCGTGGGAGAGCTGGGGACTTCCTCCACGTAATTGGCAGGAAACCACAGCTGTTTCTTGCCCCCATAGTCACCACGCCACCTGCAGGGCCACATAAGACAGCGTGTTTTCCATTTTGTCTGACTTACACTCTGTCTCTCTCTTTTGCCACAATCCCTCTGTCCTCCTCAGTCCCTCCCCTGTTTCTCTCCAGCCCTCCCCCTGTCCTCTCCCTCTTCCCACTCCCCTCTCTCACCAGCCACCCTCCTGCTTGTCCACGTTAAGGATGAGTGCCTGTTTGGGGAAGCAGAGCTCATCCTCTCGCTGGGCCCTGTAGTCATACAGGGCCTTCACTGTACACTGCAATACAACACAACCCACACAAATCAATAACAAGGCGCAGTACATAACAAAACATAGCATAGCATAGCATGGTGCAACACAGAACATAAGGGTTACAAATGAGAGGATTGTTAATTAGTCGTTAATTGATCTCATCCAGCTGTTTCTTGAAAGATACCTGGGTTCTGTGACAGCCATTACGCACCAGCAGCCCCAGAAGGGAGAGCAATTGCCTCATCAGTTGAATTGAGGGGAAGCTGTAGGGACGCTTGATTTTAATTTTATTTCCTGTCTTTCCAGCAATCACCAATTTCTACCAATCTATCAATTTCTATCAATGTGCTGAAGAGTCATGCACATTCAAAACCCTACTGTACTCTGACTCATCAGTTGTCACTCTTCTTTATTGATTATCTGATTACATGCTGATCAGTCCCCGTGATCAGGGAAAGGTGCAAGGGAAGAGGAGGAGAGGAAATGCTCCCACTCTTCAACAGCAAATCATGGAATTTCATTCCGAAGAGGTGAGAGCCGCGATCCAGACCTGCAGGACTACAGGGTGTTCCAGATGTTAACAACTGTAGAAGTTTCGTTTTCTAGATGTTTCCACCACATCACTGATTTCACAAAACCTTTCCAAGCTTCACAAGGGGCCAAACAAAAAACCTGCTCACTGTTCCAGGGTTTCTGCTGACCAGTCAGGCAAAATGTAATCAGTACTTAAGTGTGAAAAAGTGCTCTTTTTCTTTCTTTCCACCAAAATTGTGAGAATATTCTTTCTTTGCAAGTCCAAAGCTGACTAAAGGTATTTGTGACAAAAATATATTGAAACTTCATAAACATATATACTTGATTTTATCTATACTGTGGTGTCATTGTTTTTTAAACTGCATCCCTTTCACCCTGTCTGAATGTTTAAGGAAACCTAAGCACGCTGCTGGAATGAGGGCCTCCAGGAATGGAAAAGTTCTCTACCCGGCTAAATTATTACTAACATTTTCTGTGCAGATTTACTGAGATTGGCACCAGGTTTATTCCATCTAAAAGCTTTTTTGTTTTTCAAAAAAAGAATCCAGTAGGGCACAAACATGTAACTGGAGGCTGAAATATACCTCCAGGAGCTGGGAGAATTATGCACACAGCAGATCATTAATTGGCCAGCACCACTGGGGGAGGAGGGATCACCAAGTTTTCACCAATTTTCATAAACTCCAGATAATCACATTAAAATTGTTACTGTAACGTTTTCATGCACTTTCTTTTACATAATTGAGTTTTGGGGTATTGAGTAAATGTTATGTGGTGTTTTGAATGTGTTATCTTTTTAAAATGTTCTAAATAAAGCACGGAGTAATTGCTGCAGACACAAATAGACTACATACTCATGTACAGCATTGCAGAAACACAGCGCTGAATATTACTTCAGCTGATAATACCTCTTTAATGAGAAACAAAGTATTGTTTGCGTATACTCTCAGATGGAAAGCACTGTGGCACAATCGTTAGCATTGCTGCCTTCCAGTGTAGGGCCCTAGGTTCAATTCAGGAGGTTCTCCTTGTGTTCATATTGGTTTTCTCTGGGTGCTCTGGATTCGTCCCACAATCCAAGGACATACTGGCAGGTTAACTAGCTTCTGGAGAACCTGTCCATGCTGTGACTCTGTGCATGTTTGTGTCTGTGTGCCCTGTGATGGACTGGCACCCCATCCAGAGTGTATCCTAATTTTGGATGTTGCATGCTGAGATGGGCTCAGGTTCCTTCAGATAAAGTGGTGAGAAAATGGATGGATGGAACAAACACAGGATATACTTTTACCAGATCATCCCATAAGTGCTGGAAAATGTTGGAAGTTGGATTATTGGTTACTAAATAATTGATGATCTACTACATGCATTTCCATTGATGTGATCAGAAAAATAACATGCTTTCATTTTTGTAGGGGCATAGATCTAATTCCAAAGCATCTTGCCCTCCTGTTCTTCAACAATGCGAGTCATTCTGAAAACATCTCAAATCACTGAGAATTAAACAGCTTTAACAACAAGCAGGTTTCTATTGGGCTCTAAGAGCACAGTGGAATCTGGGAGGAAAGAAATAGCCAGAGCAGGCAGAGCAAATCCTCCCGGCCGAGAGGTGGCAGTGTTGAGCTGTGCCAGTCGGCCCAGTCCCTAACAAAGCTGGCTCAGAGATCAGACAGGGAGAGGAGCTTAGTGAGTAAACACTGAGGGTCTGCAAACCTTCCCAGTCCACATTCTAATCTCAAGGCCTCACACAAATCCCACCTCCAACCCTGATACCACATAAGCGCACAGAGCATATTCTCTCCTCTGTATTCAAACTGTCTCATATATTTGATAAAGAAGTCTAACATATCAAGGCCTGTATTACACCAAAATAGGAAATGTATAGTCTAAGAATCAAAGGGGAATATCCTTAAGAAATGCTCCATATTAAGTATTAACCTTAAGCAGAATCTTCTGATTAGTGCTATATTGCTAGCTCACAGGTTCATGATTAGTCTCATTACTTGTTGAGTAGGATAAAATGTCTATTTCTGGAGGATACATATACTGTATGTGATGGTCTGAATGGGATATAAACACAGGAGACTATACTATGCTAAACTGGACAGCACAGTACTAAACTGGGCTGCAATGATCTGGGCTGGAATGTGTTGCAATTAACTGGATGACTCTCAATGGGACTTGTCTGAACTACACTGGTTTTGGCACAGAATGGAAAGTGGAGTGAACCACAGGCCTGACATTGCCCTCTCATCCCACTTAGAGCTCTGTTCCAGACTGCCATCTCCCTAAGCTCTCCCTGCTTCATACTGGAAAGAGCATGCACCTCGCTCAGTCGGCCAGGTCTCCTCTGCGCATTCCTCCTTCGATAGATCTGAACACAGAACACTGTGATTACTGACAGCACAAAGCAGTATAGGGACTGCCGCAGACTGCTCTCTCACCTTGGACATTTACAAACTCAGCCAAGTTTAAATGCACTATCACATAGGATGAATGGATTGCTGGCCCGTTGCAGATTAGCTCACTAATGACAACAGCTGGGGCCAATTTATTGGGGTACAGCATCTTATTACAAGGACACGCCAACCCTCCCTTTTCCCAGACCCCTCCCAAAGGCCATGACCTACCCTGGCTGTGGGCATCTTGTTCGCTTCCACGTAGAAGTGTGGGGTACGAACCTCATACAGTGCCCCATAATCCAGTTCCTGTGGAAAAATCAGGACATCGCTGAACACCTCTGCTTCTCTCTTTCTTGGCCATCACCTTCCCTCCCTCACGTCTCTCCTCAGCTCCCTCACCTTACCCTCCCAACTCTCTCTCGCTTTCTTTTCTATCAGCATCATCCCATCTTGTGCCTCTCACTCCTCTCTCTGAATGATCTTCATGCAATACCCTCCCCCTTCTCTGCCTGTACCGTGGTGCCCATCCTGTCCAGGGTGTCGTCGTTGATGGGGTAGCGCAGTTTCATCTTGCGGTAGAGCGGGTGCTTCTCGTAGTAGCTGACCAGGTCTACCAGGCTCTCAAACTCTGCTGAGCTGCCCAGCATGAACATCCGGCCCTCCTGCTGGATGCGGCAGTGCTTTATCTTCCCCTCCGCCCTGACATGACAAAGAGGGGCCAACAGAGGATTTGACACCAGTGCTGAAGAATGACGGCCTGCTTTCCGGTTTGTTCAAGTAAAAAGTCAGAAAAAGAGCATAAGCAAAAGGCAGGGAAGGCATGGTGGGAAGTAATGGAGGCTTTACCTGAGTGCAGTAGAGTTTAGTGAAAGAGAAGGCCAGACTGGCATGCAGGCCAGACTGTGTGTGATAGACAGGGAGGCGGTGAGAGATGTGGTCTAGCACTCGCTTACCTGAAGGAGATGGCATAGCTGTTGGCCTCGCTGCGTTTTCGCACTAGGAAGGCCCCGTCTCTCGGCACCCTCATCAACATGTGTTCTGCCTGGAGACGGGTAAGACAAGCGTGGAACCACCTGGGAGGAGATGGGGGAGTGGGGGTTACAGAGGGAGAGGCAGAGGAATGGAGTGTAGAGAGAGACAGTGAGAAGTTGACATTAGGAGGGAGGGAAGAGTGTGATAAGAGAAGGGTCAGAATAAGAAAGAGTTGGGTAACGTATTATCCCAGTAAACATCAGCCATATTCTTAACTTCCTACCCTTCTTCAGTCTAACCTACACTGTCCATTACCAATAAATAAATCAATATCCCATCTGTGCAGCTCTTCGTGTCCAATCACCATATGTTTGTCCCTCTTCCTCTCTCCATTTTTCTCTGTTACACTGTCCTGCTGGTCATCCACCTCAATCCTTTCTCTGCTCTCACTTCTCTTCATTCCCCTCCTTAATCAAGACTGCTTCCTTCTGTGCAAATCTATCGTGGACACTGGGCTGGTGTAACATTCTGCACCCCTCCCTCCCTTCAGATACCCTCTCTCTCCCCCTTACTCTCACTCACTGCTCTCAGATTGGGGTATCAGTCTGCATTCCTCTCTTCCTCCTGGGTCCCCCTTACTCTCTAGCCCCCCCTCCCTCCTCTCTCACTCTCAGCTCTCAGGGGCATTTGGCTGGGGTACCTATCTGCCCCCCCCGCCTCTCCCCCTCCCTTGCTCTCACTCTCGGCTCTCGTGGGCGTTGGGCTGGGGAACAGGACTGCCCAGCCTCATCTCAAACTCGTTGCACCGCAGCGGCACCTCTCTGTAGTGGCAGATGAGCTGGTACAGGCTGTCAAACACCAGATTGTCCGTGAGATAAAACCGGGTCGAACCTGCCTCCTGCCTTGAGTGGATGCGACAGTGCTGCACACGTCCAGACCGCCTGGGAAAGAGACAGACAGGGGACGGGGGAGAAGATGTCACGCCCCGCACTCTCCCTCTTAAATGCCATTACATTCCCAAACCCACTGTTTCACTATCTCATTTCTAATTGAACCCATCACATTCTCACAGGCACCAGATTCCACAGATTCTCACTCCTGAACCAATTATCCAACCACATCCCTCTCCCTTCAGTATTTAAAGTTCCCTCAGGGACCAACCCATGCTCACTATTGAGAAGTCTCCTTTAAAGTTTTGTAGTGTGTGCTTTAGTCTTGTTGGATTTCCCAGTTTTTGGGCCTAACTTTTCCCTCTTCGATCTCGTCTCTCGGATTTCACCTTTCAGATTCTCTTCTTGGTTTGTCTTGGCTCTATCTGGTTATCTGATCTATAGCTTCCCCTATCGACCCTGCTTCTGGATTATGATTTTGGATCATTTGCCTCTGCATCCCGCACAATTCACAGCTACGCACAGGATCCTCAGAAAACTACCTGCCGGTTCCCTGACAGAAGAGGGGTGGTTGAAACACTGAATGCTTGATGAGCTGAGCCAAATATACTTTATGTAAGATGCAAGGTGCAATGGAAACATGTATTAATCTGCACTCATTTTTCAATACTCCAGAAAAATTTTTATCATCACATCCAACAAGAAATATTCAATTCCCTAGAAAACTTCAACAGGAGAGATGCAAAGTGACCACCCCATTTATAGATTAAATAAATTTTAAATAAGGTAAAAGTCAATATTTGCAGACAAAATACATTTCCATTTCCAGAAAAAAGTTACATCAATTACAACAGCACCACAATATAGAGATTAATGGAATGAGTATATCAAATATATACAATAGATGTGTACAATGAGTTACAAAAAACAATTAAAACCATCATGCAAACATGTAAATGAAAAGTTTAGATGAGCACTAACAAAAAACCACTTATCCCAAATAAATGTAGAGTATGATGGTTTTAATTATTCTTGAGGAGTTTTGTGAAGGTACAGTTTATACCTTTTTGTCAAAAGGCTGAATGCTAATCTTTAAAATGTTCTCACTACCTGCAATCCCTGCACTTGTCTGCATATTTCTTCAGTGTCTGCTCATCCTTCTAATTAACTGATGTGTTTACTCACCACACCAGTGAGGCACTAGGGCGCTGATGTAAATCAGGAAGAGCCGTGACCCCAGGTCATACTGTGGTGTCTGTCTCCCTCAGTGCCTACAGTACGGCGTACTGACCAGAAAGAGAGGGTGTAGTCCCCGACAAAGGTCTCGCTCTCGCGCACGAGGAAGGTGCCGTCCTTGCCCCCGCCCTCGCCGCAGTACTCCTGCAGCAGCTTCTCGGCCACCTGCCGCCCGTCGCGGCCGCCGCCCAGCTTCCCGTGGAACCAGCGCTCGCTGCAGTGCAGCTCGTTGTGGTTCAGCTCCTGGCGCAGGGGAGGGGCGTCATCACAGGGTACAATGGAGCGGCACCATTCCTGTTATTTCTGCTTTTTAAGTCAATTCAGCTCATGCCCCTGCTCCAACCGATTAACAATCAAAAATGTCAATGCCTACACTGCAAAACGTCACTTGGAAAAAACTAAGGTACAGAAACATGAACACAAGTCTTAGACATCAACAGAATGCAACACGTTGTGCAATAATGGGCAGCAGTTACAGTAATTACAGGTCTCAACCATAAAGGTGCAGTCTTGGCAGTCTTGAGGAGTCATCAGTCAAGAATGGTACAGGCCTGAGGCTTCTAGGCCTCATATTCCACACCAGGGTTCTACTGGAGGAGAAGAAGCAGGTACAACAGGCAGAGAGGGAAGATGAGGAACTGCTAAAACATCAGAAGGGGACAAGTGTACAGCATATGCCAAGAGAAGGACTAGGGCTAAGAGACAGGAAGTGGGCAGGGTGATGAAGAGGATACAACAGAGCTAGGCAGCCAGTACTCAGAGAAGAGCATCTGCATGGGAGATGTAAGGCAGAAGGAGTCGATGTAAACACCAGAAACTTGTACATGTTTGCTGAATTATTATTAAATTGGCATGATGTGTCATTCACAAACAGGGGTGAGTTATTTCAGTATCATAAAGCCTGCTGCTGTCTCTGTCCACTCACCTCCTTATTCTCCTCTTCCTCCTCCTCCTCCGGGCTCTGGTAGCGAGATGTTTCCTCAGAGTAGTAGATCTTGTTGCTGGTCAGGACAAAGTAGTGGGGGGTCCAGGTCTGTGGAAAAGCAGACACAGAGAGTGATCTCCTACCACACACTCACACTGCTGAGCTGCTGCCACTGCCTGTGGCTACCCATCTGTACCCTGAAGCACCGCCTGGCCACCTCTTCACCCATCCTGCCCCACATCTTAAAGGGTTTCCAATCAAATCCCCCCCCTTCACCTCTCCATGCTCCTTCAGACTCAGGGTGCTTTATTGGCGTGACCATTTCCCGCATCACCAACAAAAACAGTTTTTAAACAGTAGATCATTGATTATTTGGTGACTGATAATCTGCCTTCCAACATTTATGGACAGTAATAGGATGATCTGTCTAAAGTACATAATACAATATTTACAATCTTTTATTTCTCATTAAACAGGGACTGTACTAAACATATTGTATTGGACCTTGCATTAAACAAACTGATGTCATACGTACTGTTCAGCACTGTTTCTGCAATACATCACTTTAAACACGAGCGTGTCATCTATTTGTATGTTTTTAAATACACTTTGCTTTACTAAGATCATTTTTAGTTAGTGAAAAAATTCAAAACATGCAACAAAATACAATGCCCAAAAAATACAATGAGATTATTAAACTATTGTAAGACTTTTGATGTGATCATCCAGTTATTGAAAAACTCATTGGTAGTGTGCCAGATAATCAATGATCCACTGTATATAATCTGCAAATGTGGCCGAAAGGAGAGGAGATTAAATTAAATCCAGTTCAGGAATGCACACATGTGGGTCCAGTGGTGTCAGTCTCTGATTCTTGGGCAGACAGGGCAGCTATTAGCTATACCACCTCCTGAAAGAAACACGTCTCTCCTCCTAGAAACGTTCTTATGTTTCTCAGGACTGGGAGGCCAGTGAATTTAGAGTAGTGAATTCTCATCTCCAGCCTCTCCCCTCGCCCCTCCTCGTCCCGACCCCCACTCACATGGTCGATGGGATCCTCCAGGTACAGGATGCCGTTGCGGAGGGAGTTGCTGATGTCGCTCTCCGAGTAGCTCGCCGACGTCACCTCCTCATACAGTGTCCCCTCGGCCAGCTTTTTGTGCTGAGGAAGCCAGAGAGCCAAGGTCAGTCCAGACACACAACATACTCTGCACATACATACACACAGACACACAAATCTCACACGCACCCCTGGAGTGAAAGAACAAGCGAGCAGAGGGACAGAACAAGAGAAGGAAAGAGAGGTGGCCACCTTGATGAGGATCTTCCTGCGCAGCTGGTGGGGGGAGGGCAGCTCCTCGGCGTTGACATCAACTGGTTTGGTCAGCAGCATCTCCCCAAACACCTTCTTGAAGAGGGAGGCCATGTTCCTCTGTTGCACCACACTGCAGTGGTCCTCAATCGACAGGATCACCGGGTACCTGGGCGAGAAGGAGGAGGGCCGGACCTGAGTAGAATGACAATAATCTCTGTCCTCGAGCCAATAACAGCCTCTTATTTACAGTACTTTACTCAGAATATGATCTCCTGTCACAGTGGAAAAGAGCCTCCTCCAATAATAATAATCCATCCCTTTTCTAACCACTTTATCCAATTCAGGGTCTCAGGGGAGCTGAAGGCTATCTCAGCAGGCAATGGGCGCAAGGCAGGGTATGTACACAGACATGTACACATTCACACCAGGGATCAATTTTCCCAGAAGCCATAACCTACCAGTACTGTACGTCTTTGGACTGTGGGGGAAAACTGGAGCACCCAGAGGAAACCCATGTGGAAAAGGGGAGAGAACTTTCACAATTCCACAGGGAGGACCCAGGAATTGAACCCAGGGCCCCAGCGTTGCAAGGCATCAGTGCTAACCACTGCAAATGTTGGCAGTACTGTATGTTATTGGTCATGCCAATAAAGCTCTCTGAATTTAGTTTTCAGCACTCACATAGGAAGTCAGACACGTGACACAAGGCTGCTCTGTGCCATTGGGGGCTGTGTGGAATGAACGCTGGATCTGGATCTGCGGTGTGTCACTTACTCCGAGGTGACGAAGGCATGCTCCTTGATGGTGTGCAGAACGTCCAGGAACTTGATCTTGGAGGTCAGCGTGTGGCCGTGATAGATGATGGGCAGATCATCTGGCCCATCCCAGCAGTCCACTGAAACACCCAGAAGATGTTTCGGTGGTGGTCAGGGTGAGTGCAAGCGGGTGGCAAGTACAACCGAACTTCCTCAGAAACTAGTTTAGTTTAGTTACTTTCTGGAACTGCTTTGTGTAGTTTGTCTTAAGATCTGCAGCACAGGTGCCGTGCCCAGCCACTTGTCAACTGTCAAAAAGCATTTAAACATTTCGGAAAGTGATCAGAACCTTCCCACACATGACCACCATGCTTGTAGCGCTGCCTTCTCCAAAACCAATCTAAAGAGAAAAATGACATGTAGTGAAGAAAACGAATATTGAATGAATTTGATAAACGTACAGGGACAGCAAAGTCAAAATAGTTATTTTGGATTGACAGTCAAGTCATTTGGATTTTTAGACTAATATGAATCCTAAATACAATATACAGATGCAGCCATTCAAAACAAGCAGGCGATACCGCATTAGTTTGCGGTGCGCTTGACGCAGTCAATTCTCACATAGAAGCTTGCCACGCCCGGACTGTTACACCAACGCATTAGCATGTTAAAGCGATTCCATTGAGGAGCCGGGCATGATAATTGGCTGCAGCGAATGTGAATTCTGTCTGGCATTGCCAGATTGTGAAAAAATAAAAGTATTTAAATCAGGATGGGGGGTAAGGGAGTCGTCTCCATGACACTCTCTCTTATAAACAAAACAAAAACTAAAAATAAGATACAATCTACAGACATTCACAACATAGACATATCTTAAAACATTTACATATATTGTTAAATTATTACTTTAAATATATACTTTAAGTTACTGAAACAACCAGTTAATAAAATCGTTGCAATTTTGTTCTCGTTTGGAGGTGGGGATATTCTGACAATTGATTTAAAGACAATCTGTCAAAGTGCAATGCACTCTGCTGTCGGCCACTGGCAAGGGTGTCAACCTGTAAAAGCAGCACCTGTATGGAGACTTTTATAATACAAATTATTATATTATAATAAAGATAAACTTTCTGTTCAACCCATATGTTCATAACTACTGGGATCAATCGACGTTAATTTCAGTGTGTAAAAGTCAGTATTTTGATGCCTATTCATCTTAATAAATAAATGTACGAAGTCTGTGCCCTACTGAGCTCAGCAAACGCGCTATAGAAACATCTAAGATGCTTTGCTGCAGCCACTCTGACATTGTGCTTATTATAGCAGTGTTCTCACTTCTGACTAGTTGTTTTCTCCAGAATGTAAAATGTTGCTCATTTACAAAAATGTCCAAAAATCTAGACTTGGCTGGTCTAAGATTTTCCTCTTTTTTCTTCCAGTGAACTCCTGGGCATTGACTGTACTTTTTCAGTCACTGTCAAGTTGAATGGTGAAGCATGGAAGGATTTTCTTCAACACAAGAAGACAAAAGGCCTCTGTCCAATTCAGAACTCATTCTACTGCTGCTGTTATAAGTTACATCATCAACAAAAGCCAGTAAGCCAGTTCCAGAGGAGGCCATCCATGCCCAGGCTATGACACTACCTCCACCATACTTCACAGATGAGGTGGTGTTCTTTGATGCTTTACCCTTTACATCAGCTTAGTAAAGGTTTATCCTTGTCTCATCTGTCAAAAAACCCTTTTACAAAACCCTCCATGCTCATCTTCTTACTTCTGAGCAAATGCTAATCTGTCTCTCACATTCTTGGTGCTGATGAGAAATTAAACATCTTGCTGTATAGACACTGTTATCATGTTATCTCAGTGTAATGAGAACAGTTGATTGTCAACATCTACAGATCTTTTTCTTTACGAACTGGTCTTGGCTGATTGGTAATTAAGCCCAGAATTTTGGCATGTGCTTTGGTTGTCTGCTTTTCTTTAACAGAAAGTTTTGGTTCTCATTTTGACTTTTGATTATGGACCCAAGCAACTAAGTCAACGCAAGACAGGTTGGTAGCCTAATTACACAACAACACATGACAGACATTAAAACAAAAATAATCTCTAGTTTAAGTGACCCAATAAGGTGAATTGGGTTGATTTAAAAAATGTTATTTTATCACGACAAAATTCTTAGAATTCATGGTGAAACTCCCAGACTTCAACCCCCTTAAATGTTATCCCAATGTTAGCAATATTAATAAGGCTTTTAGGATTTTTAAAAGAAATCCATTTATCATTTATTTAATGTGCAAATAAATAATTGTTGGTATCTTCTGTGCATACTGTAATTCATCCAGGGTACCCAGTTTTTGGGTCCCTGCACTTATTTGCTGTAACCTGAAGAAACACATATCTAGTAAACAGTGAGGGAATGTGAAACCAGGACCAAGGCTGGCCCAACCCTGGTGTAAATTATCCGCCCAACACAAATTTGGTCCATATCTGATCTTACCTCACCTCTAACCCTTAACCAGGAGGAAATGCAGTCTGTGCATTTCACTTCTCACCGTTAATCAAAAAGGAAGGTAAAAGGAAGGATGAGTAAATCTACTTCTCTCTTCTAACAAAAGGGAAATATCACCTAGTTTTCCTGATCAAACCATTACCCTCAGACTGTTCTCACTGCAACTACACCGACTCCTTGATTAAACCTGTGTTCGTTTTCTATTTATAGTGAAAAGTCTGACTGAACACAGCTGCTGCAGGTCTTACTCTTCCAGTCTTGTGTGAATGTCTGCACTCTTGACCAATATCCCTGACCACACTCTGAGATGCACACCTGCAGGTCAAAATGAAATAGGAATTCACAAAGTTCTGTGAATTCAGAAACTACTGATGGAGCTCCCACAGGGAAAGCATTATGGCTCTAACATGGTGAAACCTCCTGCAAAATGTACAATGGAGAAACAGCTCCTGATGGGGCATATGAACACCTGCCAAAGACTGTAAAGTGGCGATTCATAACCTAGGGCGTATACACCTCTGGGGGTGTGCAAGACACTGGATTTTTTTAGAAGGTAAATCATTGAAAACACAAATTAAGCACAGGCATTTAAGCGCAACTACTGTTTCATCACACCTAGGTATTTTAAGGTAAATATTAAAAAGCATGAAATTAAAGTAAATAGATGATTCTGTCTCTTTCATTGTATAGTTCTGATATTTCTTAGATCTGACCTACTGTACTTAAATGATTTTTGATAAGGTGTGTAAGAACATCTTTTGAAACCAAAAGGGGTGCAGACTACCTGTCTGAAACTATCAGTGTTGTGTTACACACACTTTGAAAGCAATCCAAACAAGTCCTTTGCTGACTAAAACCACATTGTGGACGCAGTCTTCAAAAACTGACGAGATATATTGGTCTGAATAAATGCCAGAGCTGAATTTATTTATTTAAACACAACTGAATAATACTGAGCATCAGAATCAATGATTCATACCTGAATGATTTTAAATAAACATATCTTGAATATTGATTAAATAACTTGGTTTCATTTTGCTTAAGTAATCCTTCATGACCAACTCCAATGTACGTGCTCTAATGTGCATGACCCTCGAATCCAAGAGTGCAGTGCCAGTACTAAATTGCCTCAGCTTTCCTCACAAATTACTGGTCACTGGTGAAAAGGCCATGTAACCTGATGAAAATCAGGTGAAATCCAGAAAAAAAACAGAAGTCCCCTTTATTAAGAGAGCAATGCCTTTATGTCACCAGGATTGCAGGACAGCTTCTCAGGTTCACCCACCAGCAGTGGAGCCAAAACTTACAGTATTTAGTAAAGAAATTCACAGTTTTGTGTGAACCACTTATCTAAAGCAACCTTAGCACCTAAAGGAAACAAAGACCCTAAGACAAGCCCAGGACCCACCTGATTCAAACTTATAGTGTTATAAACTAGCAGCTCACATATTTTGTGAGCATGTGAGCACATGTTTTCATTGCTAGGAGCTAGGAAGCAAACAGAATGGAAGCATCTGTATTTCTCCATGGCACAAAGGCTCAGGCCTGGATGTTCTGTGGGAAATGGCCTTTTTGGTGTGGATGATCAAAAAAGGCAGCTGTGGAGGCCCTACCTTAGCGGCTGTGCTATTCACCTTACAGGGAAAATGTTTTTGTGTGTGTGTGTGAAAAATTTAATACTGTGGCCAGGAAGTGAAAAGCAGGGTCCTCAATTAGTTAATCTGCTTCATACGGCTGACATGAATGACCACCGTAATTTAATCCTCTAGACCACATGGGGAAGATAATATTTTATGTACCTGGGAGTATCTAGAGAATTTAAAGACAACACAGAAAAACTGTGGCCTGATACTGACAGACAGGGGTTCCTGTCTTTAACACTGTCCTTATCAAAGTGAACTGAAATGAGGGAGAGAGGAAAACATGACGGGATGAATCTGTGGTCTTCACTGCTGGTTCTGGAGAACAGCTGTGTCTTTTTTTTTTCTTTTACTCTGGACTCTTAATGACTTGATTGTTCAATTGGTGAGTATTATCACTTTTCCAGGACTTTACTCACTGGGGATTGTAAATTACCTCCTCAGGATTGGGAGTGAATGTCAGCAGGATTAAGGGCTGACAGAAATGATACGTGAACAGATAAGGAGACGCAGAGTGAGCAGAAGGAATGAAGGACCTGTGGCGCAGAGAACGATAGCCCGGCTCCACTCACACTCTATGCAGCGGCAGCCCATCCTGAGGCACCGGGCGTAGGCCTCCAGGGATGACTCGCTAGAGAACTGGTCACCCGTCAGGTAACTGATGGGACAGAGGTAGAGAGAATGAGGAGAAAGAGAGCTTGGACCAAGCACTTATAAATGGTGTTAGAGACATTTTCTTGCACTCACAACCCTTCCCTTAGTCCATCTGCCCACCCACATCTCCCCTCTTCACGTACGTGTTGTGAGATGAGGAAATCCAGTACTGGGACAGTGGTCTCTTCATCTCCTCGGGGCAGACTGGCATGCCGCGTGGCTCCACAATCGAGTTCTCCCTTGAGAAAAGGAATGTCAGGAACTGCCAAAAGACACAGAGAGACTGTAAACAACACTGTGAGAGAGAGGAGCACAAACACAGTGTCACAGGCAGACACACTGAGAGACTGAACAACACTGTCAGAGAGTGGAGCTCAAACACAGTGTCACAGGCAGACACACTGAGAG